CTGACCCTTACCGTGTCTCAAACCTGTCAGCCATTCCCTTCAGTGATCCTGATACCCAAGTTAAAGAGCAAATGGTTGAGGTTCAGCTCAGTAAAATTTGTGTCCACTCGTCTGATTTTTTTCCGGTCAGTTTATCAGACCTGAATTATGGTCAGACATTCTACTGGAGTGAACATAGCTCTAAGAACCACAAGCTGCTAGCTCTTGACTTCAGTGGTACAGTTACAGCTGTGGGTAGCGATGTTACTAAATTTAAAGTTGGCGATCAGATTGTTTCTTGCTACCCAGTGGCTGCATCCTCCAAGCTCAGGATTCCAGAATCGGCATGCTACAGTTCAAACATGCTTTCATTTCCTGTAGATGTTCCATGCATGTCCTACTTTGTGATATCCTGGGAGATCTTGCGTCGTATGTTGCCTGAAGTGAAGCAGAATGGATCAGTGTTGGGCATCATTTCATCAGAACGTAACTCGCATCTGGCTCAGGTTTTGACAGCAGCAGTGAAAAAAGGAGGATGGAATGTGACTGTGGCCACAGAAGCTAGTGGGATGTATGATGTACTCATCTTTTTATCTTCTGTAGATGTGTCTTCTGTAGCTCAAGCCTGCAAGGATTCTAAGGTCAGACACATTGCTGTAGTCTGTGGTGGCAAAGTGCCAACTGCTCTCTCACAAACCATCTTGAACAATGAGAATGACAATGTTTGCATTGAAATCCTTCAAGTGGAACAGATTTTACAAAAGTCATACCTCAGAAGTCAGAGGGAAAATATCTCCAAGTGGCTCATGTCTGCTCATTTCAGCTCAACAGATTTCAATTTTCAATGCAATACTTTCCAGACTGCAGTCCCTGAAAGTAGTGAGCCTGAATCCTATTTTAATTCAAAGACAATGCCTGTGATTGTTCTAGATGATGAGAAAATGAAGGAAATTTCAGAAATACCTGTGCATGAGAAGGAAAAGGTACGTTTTCTTAGGAAAGCTGTGTACATAGTATCGGGGGGGCTTTCTGGCCTGGGATTCCAAACTGTCAAGTTTCTTGCTAAACGAGGAGGGGGTCACATTGTTATCCTTTCTAGAAGGAAACCTACACATGAAATGCAGCTGGAGATTGATGCTGTACAGGATGCGTATGGAGCCATTGTCACATGTAAACAGTGTGACATTTCAATTGCTTCGGAAGTCACAGCAGTAGTTCAAGATATCAGCCTGAAATTCCCTTTGTGTCCAATTAAAGGAGTGTTCCATAGTGCAGTTGTGTTGCATGATGGGCTGATTGCTACTCTTGATAAGTCAGATTTTTTTAAAGTTCTGCGACCTAAGGTTAATGGGGTGCTGAACCTGCATCGTGCAACAAGGGATTTCAGGTTAGACTACTTTGTGTGCTATTCCTCTGTTGCATCAGGCATCGGCAATGCAGCTCAATCAAACTATGCTGCAGCTAACTCTTTCATGGACATGTTTTGCCATTATCGGCGAAAACTTGGCCTTGCTGCGCAGACCATTAACTGGGGGCCATTGAACTTGGGTCTCCTGTTGGACAAGGTGCATTTGCAGATGCTTTTGGAAGATAAGGGGCTACTTGTAATGGATGTATCAGAGGTCCACAATAGCCTGGAGAGGTGTTTGCTCCAGAATAACGCTCAGCAGATTGTTTGCAAATTCAGCTTCAAAAACCTATTCAGCAACGTCTTGCGCCTCAATAGTTTTATGAGTGTACGCTTTGTTCCATTAATGGAAAAAATATTCCATGAAGCAAAGCATCTCAGTCCCATGGACCTGAATGTGATTCCCCGCACTACATCAGAGGAATATGTCAAATGTTTGCTTTGTGAAATCTTCAACATTGAAATGGAGGAACTTGGAGATGACATGACACTTGCAGCCCTGGGCATTGACTCAATGCTGGCAATGACCATGCAGAATCGCATCTATCAGGAAAGACAAATCCGTGTTCCTCTTGTAGTGATCCTTGACCCAAATGGCACAATCAGTTCTTTAATTTCACTTTTAATGGGGGACAAAAAGGCAGAGAGACAGGAATAGTTTTGGTGGAGGTGTGGAATATTTTGCTCAGCAGCAGTTCATGGTTTAGGATTTTAAGTTTGTTGATGCACTTGATATGTTGTGGTGACCCTTAAACCATTATTCATTATAAAGTGTGTTATCAAAGAACACTGTCAGTTTTAATATGAATAGTGGTTAATCAGTTAATCATAATAATCACAGTTTGATCAATAATGAAATCTGCAATAACCTGAGAACTTAACATTATTATTGAAATTTCTTTTGCAAAATATAACACTTTAAGAAAAGAAACAAAGTGTTAAATGCCAAAATTGGTGTCATGATATGTACTAGTCCCTGTTTGTATTTTGTAAACAGATGATACAGCTTAACCTTTTTTCTATTACATTTTTGAATGACTTGTTTAATCATGTCTTGTTTTTTGCTACTATACATTTTCTGCGTGAATTTTAAATCTATAATATTCAAGTTAATATGTATATTGAATTGTAATAAAATGAAAATTACTTGATTTAAAAGGGTTGTACAGTGTGTGTGTCCCCAGAAATTAACTGGTGATACGATTCAACAGCATTAACCAATGTATCCTCACTCCTTTGTTGCACATTAATGATGTGTTTAGTTACCTCATATAACATCTCTGATACAACAGTTTCCTTAGTGAATTTATTGGACCTCATTCACCAACAGTTCTTACGAACAAATTTGTTCTTAAACCTCACGTACGGACTTTTTTTTTTTTTTTTGAAGATTCTGACATTCACCAATGTTTCATCTGAATTTGTTCTTAGCTAAGAACATAATCTACGCATACTCAAGACCATTCGTACGCACATTTGAGTTTGTTCAAAATAATTGGTTATAGCAGTTTTGTTAAGTCTACAGTTGATAAAATGATAGTATTTGAATAATTTATAAAAGTACAATATAAAAAATAATTTTAAAATGTAGAAATTATTTTCATGGTTGTAACGGCAATCAAGCGGATTATAAATAGGTCTGTTTCAGCGCATTGGCCTTGCTATCACAGCAAGCGTTCACAGAGAAGGTGATCTCTCTCTATGTATCAGTTTTCTTGGGGGCTTTATATCCACTGGTTACGCTACTAAATGTGTCTATTTGCATTTACCTCCTGTAGAGTAAAATCCACTTATAACGGACTTCAAGGGACCTGGCAAAACAGTCCGTTATATCCAGATTTGCTGTATGCCCAGAACACTACAGAACACCATTTACTCATGCCACACCTCAGCAGACACACTTGTGGTATAGATTATTATATTGTACATATAGTAATCCAACTTTACCTGACCAGATGCGTGACTATTAATAATCCCTACTCCGTATCTGCGCTGGATGTCACCGGCACGCCACGCGCCTTCTCGCCGGAGCCTGCATGTCCGTTATAGCCGAACAAAACTACAGCTAAAAGCGGCCCTGGGGACCAAATTGTTTGTCCGTTATAAGCGAAATTCCGTTAAATGCCAGTCCGCTATAACCGATGCTTTTTCTGCATGTACTTAAAGGTGCACGGCCGGGACCAGCGGACCTCTTCCGTTATATTCCATTATAAGTGAGTCCACTATAACGGGATTTTACTGTATTAATACTTCTACTAAAGCATTACTTAAGTATTTTTTCCTCTTCATGCCAAGCGACCCACAGCCTGCGCGCCTCTTCGCTATTCCTTGCACACGGCCCTACAGTCTCATGTCCTTTTACGGGAAATTGCAGGGCGTTTCCCTATGCTAATTAGGACAAACTGGCACGCGCTTTCAGTTACGAAGACGTAGGATTCATCATTCTTAAGAACAAAGGTGCGAACAATTCCGCTGCTTAAGAACGCGTCATGAATCTGACATAGGTTGTTCTTAAACTTCGTAGGAACAAATTTAAGAGAATTCTTAAGAAAATATTGGTGAATGAGGCCCATTGTTCGCCTTCATCGGCATATTAATTTTACAATTTGGGGATGATGTCTCCTTAACATCATAACGGTTTTACAATTTTAATAGAGCTTAAAACATCCGTGACATTTTAGAAATGTTTACACTAAATAACGTGGAATGGTTTACGTGCTTCTTGCGCATCACTGCGTCTTAACGAAGCGCTTAGATTCGAATAGACCGAATAACTGACCTGAGATCAGCTGGATCGCTGCTCCTGCAGTGAGCCGCGCACCCGATCTGTTCTGGGTTCGGTGGCCGTATGTGACGTGTGTGTGTGTCGGTAACCTTACTGCGTCACCCAGCCCGAAAGCGGACAGCTTCCCCTGTTAAATAACCTGCGGCCAGAAACTGGAAACATGGACGACGAAGTGTTGACGACTCTGAAAATACTGATAATCGGCGAAAGCGGCGTCGGAAAGTCGAGGTTAGCGAGCACCCTTCGTAAAAACAAACGTCATTCGCCGCCTCTAGCCACTGCAGGGTTACCGGCCCATAAGTTGAATTTCTGTTTATAAAGAAAAAAAAACATAAAATTACTTCGATTCCACTTCTGTATATAGCTGTATATAATTGAGTATCTTTTATTACGAATGTTTAATTCGTCGTGCCGCATTTGTTCAGATTGCGTTGCCAGTTGCGTTCTTCACATTATTAATTTCACTCCGATTAATGTTAACAAAAGCAATCGGAATAAGTTTGTCATCATAGATGTACTTTGTCCAAATGCAGTTATTGATGGTCGCTACCGGTCGCTGCGTTTAACGTAAATGTTTATTTCTTATAACGTAAATGTTTATTTCTTAAGACTTATATTCTAATATTCTTATATTGGCATTTGTACTGCATGTGTTCCCTGTCTTTCCTTATCGGTCCAGTTTATGTTTGATAAAGCAAAAAAGACATTTAACTATTTTAGTCTGTGTTTATAAACCACAATCAAGAATGAAATCCACTGTATTATATGTGTTAGTGTATCGACGAAAAGATAGGAATGTAATAACTGGAAAACATAAGATTTTAGGTGTATGCTCTGCTGGCTCTACAGTTCACATTTCCCGTTCGATTTTATTTTCGGTGCCCCCTCATTCATTTGAAAGTTAAAGAATTACCCTGCGTATGTCATTGGAAAGTAATTATTTATGCGCCCCCCAGTGGTAGACCGCAGAACACGCGCTAATGGAGTAACCGATTTTAATTTCATTTATAGCATAGTGATACATTTGCATTAGTAAATATGTATACAGTATTTACTGTATGTAGTATATTGGACACATCTTTGTGCAAGTGTTTCAAGAAAAATGTTTCAAAAGTTTTTTATTTTTGTTTTCTGTGTGTACAGTACAATGCAATTTTTACTTGCAAGCATTCCACAAACTATAATACCAGTTAAATGCAAGACTGGTAAGTGCAGCACCTAACAGTAATTACCAATAAATAGCAAATAATGGAAAATAACTCCTTTGTAGACAAACTCTGAGCATTTATGTATCTGAGAGGTGCATACATTATATGCATAATAGATTGTCAAAGCATTCATTGTAGTAGGATTTTGTCCAATAAAGGGTGAATAGAGTCCTTCAGAGTCCTGTTTTGCCCTGCCTTTTTTAGAGAACAAGTCACCTATATGTGTGTTGTGAGGTGTGTGGTGGGAATTCGCATCCCGCTACATGCAAATGTTTGAACCTGCAACCTTCTACACATAAAATATCCTTTCCTGAGTGTGATGAGAAATTTTCATGCAGAGGACTGACATGAAACAACACAGACTGTACAGCATGTTGAATGATTAGGACATATCAAGGGAGGGTGCCTCTTAAACTGTTACACCATTATTGTCAAAAGCCTCCCGGTTTTGATATGGGAAAGAAGATTATCTGCTTTTCACACTAATAAAATTCAAACTCTGGGTTAAGCAGCATGGAGAGACTCATAGTAGCTTATTCTTCACACATGAAACACATGCCTATTGTCTTTGTTTTTTTCGTTTTCTTGCATTGACCTGTTGGATCAAACAAAGACTTTATAGTAGTTGTTTTTCTTTTTTTTTGGGGGGGGGGTGTTGCTAGCTAGATGTTTCCTTTTGGTAGTCGGGTGGCATTTGATCAGTTTTGGTCATTGAAAAAAAAAACTGTGCTAAAATTATTTTTCTCCCGCCAACCTCAGTCTGCTGTTGAGATTTACTGATGATATGTTTGATCCAGACCTGGCAGCAACAATAGGTGAGTGGAGATGAGTATGGCTAGTCTGACTGTATTGTTGTATTTCTACATTTCCATATAGGTGTCTTAGAAGTGCAAGATGCAGCTTGAATTCAGTGTTTCCCAACCCGGTCCTCGGGGGCCCACAAACATGTTATGTTTTTGCTCCCTGCCAGACAGGCCACATTTTCACTCCCTCCCAGCTCCTAAAAACGTGGGCTGTCTCCTGGGGCCTGTTTCACAAAGCAGGATTACTTGCTTAGCCAGATAACTTGCCAGATTTAAGGTAGTCTGGGCTAAATGTAAGTTGAAAATAAGGTCTATTTAGACCAGACTACCTTAAATTTGGCAAGTTATCTGGCTAAGCAAGTAATCCTGCTTCATGAAACAGGCCCCTGGTCTCCGAGGACCAGATTGAGAAACACCAAGCTTGATTTGTTCTTGCCAGCACTGTGCAGTTGAGCGCTTGTCTGATTTGCTCTGCTCACGGCTAACTAAGCACAGTGGCTAATCAAAAAATAATATTTATAGAACAGTACTGTGCAGAAGTCTTGGAGAGTAACAAAACAATACGTTTAAATGTTCTTCATATTGGTAGAACTATGTGTGTTAGCGTAGCCATTTTTTAAACCTCTCAAAGTCACCCCAGTATTTTTTACTAACCATCCAAAATAGACGTATTTTAATCAACCACTAGCATCCCACGTTTGGCTGATAAATACTTCATCAAATTATTCAAGTTATATTTCACTGGTAGCTCGCATAATTAATGAAAACATGGAATGGCTGGGGTTTGGCAGGGGAAGCAGTGTTCTTGTAGCAATCCACAACGAATCAGTGACTTTTTGATGAAAGGAAATTCTTGTTTTTTATTGTAGCTCTGTTCGTTTGCATATATTATACTATCAAAAATTGTTTTTCTGAGCAGGTATACACTTTCTACATAGATAAATGGTATTACGTATTTACTTTGATTGCCTAAGACTTGTACCCAGTACTGTATATATGTATTTGTACACATGCATTGTGTGTCAACCCCACAAACAGGCATACACACCAATAAACCCTAATATGACATTTGTGTAATTGTTTCACTGATCGATTCTTAATTAGAAAAATAAGCATAGGCCCCTTGCTGACTACCTCTTCCAGCAAAATCAGCGTCCCAACATACACGACACACATTACGCATTTAAAACAGAGCAAGATAAAAGCACATCATCAAATGCAGTCTACAGCTATCAAAACATTCATATATAAAATGTAAATGTGACTATTGAAATTAACATTCAAAAGTATTATGAAAGTGTATACACAAAAGACATGGAACATTTTTGTAGCTGAGTATGGTTGAGGTGCATGATTAGTTATTTTGGCTGTAACTGGACTCATGACAAACCATTCAGTCATATTTGCCAATATTTGTTTGAGGCCTCTCAAGTTAACGCCATTCAGGAAGTCATCAAATACAATGTTGGTCTTTTCTAGACAGTTGGCAGGTTTCTGCTGTCGGGTCAAGCTCAGATTGACCCGGGCAGGAACGTAATGGGAAACTTAGATAATGGAGATCAGCACTGTACTACTGATCGTTATATTAAACAGGAGCAGAGCTTCCAGGCACCGTATCGAATAGCAAAAGTTATTTGCGTGTGTATGTCTCAGGGGTATGTGAAGAGAAGCATTCCGATGTACCTGTATGCCTTTAAACAGCAAATAAAGGGTTAGGGTAGCAAGCACCAATGACAGCATTAACTTAGCCTGCGAACAACTATGTGGTCAGAATCCACTCTGTGACTATAATAATGCAAGAGACTAGTGAGGTAGTTTGCGTGTACTCTACATTTGCCGTGAAGGAAAAGGATGTTCTTTTTGTGCTACTTGGTATTCTGCAATACAGGTTTAGTACTATAGATGGCAGTATTGTACAGGCATATTGGTCCATGGTAAGGAATATTTAAAAGTAACCGCATCTGAACGTGGAACGTCTGTGCTTTTAATGAAGTGGATCACCTGTCGCTGGTCGTTCAACTCCAGCCCAGACATTTCAACATTGTATTCTTTTCCTTTATAGATGTAGAAGATAAGATTCACTACTGATGACTTAATACTAAAAAAATGGGATTTTATTGGTGGTTAACTTCATTTCTGCAAGATTTAATAGTACTACTTAACTGTTCTTGTTACGAATTTATATGCACAAATTTCATAGCATTTTTATATTTATGAGAAGTAACTGATATCAAGTACCATCATGATAGCTCATGTACACTAGCAGCCAAAATTGTGGAAACACTTCCAACCGTTCCAGTTCCATCAATGTCTAGAACAGGGGTCACCAACCTTTTTGAAACTGAGAGCTACTTCACGGGTACTGAGCCATACGAAGGGCTACCAGTTTGAAATGCCCTCCTAAACTTATCTAAACTGCATGTATAATAAACATTTTTTTTAGATATTGTCATTTTCAAATCTATATAAATGCAAATGTGATTAAAGAAGAATAGCAACAGGATAAAATTTAATTTTAGACGCTGCTCACTGTGAGCTGTGCTATTTTTAGAACAGGTCCGCGGGCGACTCATGTGGTCCTTGGGGGTGTCCTGGTGCCCGCAGGCACCATGTTGGTGACCCCTGGGCTAGAGATCGCTGAACTTTTTTCCAGTTACTCCAGTCAGTTATTTAATTGTCCAACGTATGATATTTGTAAACATTCTCGGATTGTTTATAAACATTACCGCCAATATTCGTGTAGTGATTTTTAAATTGTAATGCCAAAAAAGCTAGGTGTTTTCCACAATGTTGCCCGCTAGTGTATGTCACATAATTGTCCCTTTTGTCCTTTAATTCCACATCATGTTTCTAAATCCAGGTGTTGACTTCAAAGTGAAAACCATTGCAGTCGATGGAAACAAAGCAAAGCTTGCAATTTGGGTAAGAGGAGACTGGAGTGAGGTGTTTTAGGGTAACTGTGGGGTGTGGTTATGTTTGGGGGGGTTGGGGAGGGTCAGGCCAACCTCCATATGTGTGTCTTCTAATTATAGTTATATTTCAAATTTTATAAAATATTTTTGTGCAGTTGTAGTATTTTTTGTACTTGCACTCTTGCATTATTTTCAGGCTCGTTTTTGGCACGTATTTGTAGCTGTGGTTGAAATCATAAATTTTTCCAAATGATAATCTAAGCGTTTTCCTGTTCAGAGTTCATGACACTGTAGTCGTAGCTCTCAGCCAGTATCTTCATGTGGAGGTTCTCTGTTTTATGCAGTATGCTTTAGCCAATTAAAGGGTTTCCTCCTCCAGGACACAGCGGGACAGGAACGGTTCCGAACTCTGACGCCAAGCTACTATCGAGGGGCCCAAGGCGTCATCCTGGGTGTGTGCGCATTTACGAAAAACCCTTGTCATCGCCTGTAGCGTTTATTTTCCCCCAAAATCTGTTTTAAATGTTTAATATATATTTCTGATGATGATTATTGTTGTCGTTTGTTTTGTTGTTTTTTTATTATCAACAACAACAGTAATGATAATAATTTTAGTAATTGTCGTATAATCGTTGTTTATGGAGAATGTTATTTTTTTGTCTCTTCCCTCTTTTTAGTTTACGATGTTACAAAACGTGATACATTTACCAGGCTTGATAACTGGCTAAATGAGTTAGAGACATACTGCACAAGAAATGACCTCGTGAAAATGCTGGTTGGAAACAAAATTGATAAGGCAAGTGTGTTGTGTATGTTTTACTCATTTTCTGTAAACGACCTTCTGCCAGGAAAATCAGAAGTAGCATGGCTTTCTCTCAGTAAAACTTTCCTCTCAGATAAATATCTTTCTTCGCCCTCTGACTTTATCCTGACAGTAACAAAGTGCTTAATGAAATGAACCTTAATTTTAGGCTATTTTTCTAGCAGTTCATTCAGAATTATTTTGGAAGATTTCTGATGTTGCACTGTTGAGAAAATATAGACTTTGATAATTTGCTGTCTTTTCCCCACCATAAATAGTTTTCGTTCTATTTTTTTTCTGTTTTCTTGAATTTTCAGCGGGAGCTCACTTCAGCCTTTTTTGTACAAAGTAATGTAAGGCTAGAAGAAAAACAGACAGAAATAACAGCCACTTTTTCTGTCATTGTTTTAGGAAAACCACGAAGTAGACAGGAACGAAGGCCTCAAATTTGCAAGGAAACATTCCATGCTTTTCATTGGTAAGAAAGTAGTTTTCTCTTGTTTTGGCTGCCTGTCATTTGTTACTACAGAGGGATCAGTCAGTGTAGCTGCTTTTCCAATTGCCTTTCTAACCCTAACGTGGAGTATTGTGCTTGTATTGCATCAGCAATATCCAGCCTCTTATATGATTCTCCTAAACTGAATTATAGTTCACCGGGCTTTTCCTTTTAAGGCTGAAAATAAAATTAAAACAACCCTTTTTAACGGATGCGGCATGTGCTAAATCTTCGCTCAGATGACTCGAACAAGAAATGGTGCACTTCCTGTCACGAACTGCCTATGACCAAACACTTATTGGATGCATGTGCTGCGACTGCCACGGCCATAAGACGTTTTCCCGCAGCCCTAATCTGAAGCAGTGTCAGCCTCTCGTTCTCTGTTGCCACATATAATGCTAATAAGTGTAGCTCCTGTCCCAAATCGACCCTTCCCTAACCCACCTTAAGACCTCCCAATACCAACCCAATTATTTTCCCAGTCCCTTTCTGGAAAAACCCAACTATCCATAAACTAACTTGAACAAGTACTTCAGTATAGTACATCAACCAATACAAGACAACCCAATACTACCTCAACCTAAAATCACCTCACAGATAACTGCCCCCACCCCCCACCACTACCACAACCCCCCCGATACACCCCCTCCTTCTCTGTCCGGAACCTAACCTTTTAAAAATTCATCCACATGCAGAGGCAAGTGCAAAGACTCGCGACGGGGTGCAGTGCGCATTTGAGGAGCTGGTCGAGAAGATCATCCAGACTCCGGGACTTTGGGAGAGCGAGTCGCTGAGTCCGGGTTTGCGGCTCTCCCACCAGGACCAGCCGAAGGGGAGCTCCTGTACGGGCTACTGCTCCTTGGCCTAAGTGCAAACCGCTCCATTTGTTGAAGGAAAGCATTGTTATCTTTATCATTATTCAATGTTCAATTATCCTACCCCAGGCCATACTTGCTGTGGTTGCACCATGTTGGGGTGTAAAGGGGAGTTCGCCATTAAGAGATGCTGCTGTTTGCACATTATAAGCTTCACTACTTGAGTTTGTTTAGGATTTCGTAAAAGGCATGTCTACGGCTGGCAGAGCTTGGGTCAGGGATACCGGTCAGGGATACAGGGATACGGTCAGGGAACAGCTGGTCTGTTCCCTGTGTGTCATCAACCCCTCCACAGTGGAGGGTTGGCAAGCACATTTTGTTGACGTCTTAGCATCGCTCATGATGGAAGCTAGCTGTTTAACCACTAGGTTTTTCAGAATAAAAGAATACTTGATGACAAGTCAGTTATAATGGCAGCAAGGGAATGTAGTTATAAAGGAGATATACCTCACAGTTGATTAATATGTAGAGATTGTTGATACGCACTGACTTTTGTTTATGGAACCTGCATGAGCAAAATTAAATAGCCAAAACTGTCGCTAGAATGTTGTTTTTCCCAGAATTTCAAGCAAAAACTGCTCTTACAAAGTTTTCTTTTTTTTAACCCATGAAAACCCAGCTTGTTTCTGTCTGGTTAAGGAAATATGGATTATGGATATTTAACAGCCCACTTGTTCCCAGAATCGCCTGCTGATGTTTTTGATTTGTGTCTCAAGCATGGGGAAAAAACACTGATGTCTTCAAATGTCAGATATGTTTTATAAATTGCCAGTTTTCCCTCAGGTTTTCTAATACATGTTCTTATGTAGTCTTCTGTTTCCTATATTCATGCTTAAATGATCTGTAGCTGACCCACGTACAGCCTTGAGAATTGGATGTCCTTTTGGATGTACAGGCCCACATTGTTTGGCATTCCACTGATTGTTTTGTTTTTAAGAAACAGGTGTCCAGTAACCGATGTCTGCTGCTCCAGCAGAAGTGCACTGGGTGCACTGCTTTCCGTTTTAACTCCCTCTTTCGTTGCAAAGATTCTTGTTTTACGGCCCTTTCCTTTTTTCATGTTTAATGGTTTTTAGTGCCACACTAAGTCATTCATGATGAGAATCAGTACAGTGGTGCATTCGATCCTTTCAGTCAAAGCCCTAAACCAGCAGTGGGCAATCTTATCCTTAAAGGGCCGGTGTGTGTGCAGGTTTTTGGGATAACCTGTAGGTCAGCTGTTCGAACCCAGGTGTGAGGACTCTTCAGCCAATCAGTCCTCTAATTAGTAATCTAATTAGGGAGCTGCAGCGAAAACCCACATACACACCGGCCTTCTGCGGATAAGTTTGGCCACCCCTACCCTAAAAGAACTGGCCTTAACATATGTCCTTAATATATTTTATTCTTGTCTTTATTTCATAGTATCTATGTTTAATAAATGTGTTTTTATACTTAGTTCACACATTTTCATTACTGTCTTGGTATTTTTCTATTATTTTTGGAATTTAGGAAGCAGTAATGGATTTTTTTTTTTTTTACCCCAGTAATGGTGACTGTTTGTTGTTGGCTGAAATGTGTATCTTTTGTGCGTGTGTGTATGTGTCTACGTAGATGCAGTAATATTTACTTGAAGCAGTATTACCTAATTCATTATAAAAATTTAGAATAAATCCAAAATGTGGGTTTTTCAGTAAGAAATAACTGTAAGTAGCTTTAATGTGTGAAAACTTCGTGCCAGCCAAGTATTTTATAAGTCTGCAAGACACTTACCCAAAGTATGTAATAATATATGAAAGCAATTTACTTGGGCTACTGATTTTAATCTGGTAAGTAACACGGTCCAAAGGTGGACTTAATGTTGCAATAAAAAAATTCAAATGGCTGCCGAATAGAAATCTTTAAATACATCATGGCTTCATTCTCGTCGCAGGTATTTCGGCTGATTCCAGTACTTGTTATTTTGGCATGCCGTTGACGTTTCACGGTCTATCTTCAGCTGGTTGTGGGGTACGCTTATTTTTGGGAAGTACGCTAAGAGAGCACGCGGGCCAAACTACTGTCCAAAAGCTGCTCAGCATTCAGACCTGTGATGAATTTAAACAATATTTTGGACAGATGGTCAGGAAATGAACTGTTCCAGGAACTCCTTGACTTGGCTGCATTGGGCAACAGGAGTGCGGGGCGGGACGG